TCTTTCGAAATATATAAATAAAAATGATTTGACCGATTATAAGCAAGTAACAAACAAATGCTACATTGAAATCTACTATTGCAAAACTCTGGTGATCTTAAAAGTTACAAAATATAAGGTTAAGCTACATATGAATTGGGAGTAGTCGCATAAATCAAAAGGTTAAATTGCAGTTAATACGATGGTTTCAAACTTCTCCCCCTTTTGTACTTTTGTGAAATCCAACTTTTCCGAAGAGTAAATTATCAACTTTTTGTTTTTAGGTGAGTTTCATGCTTATTGACGAGATCAGTGTGCGAGGAAGACTAATTTTTTTTTTTTTTCCTTTTTCTCAAGTTCATTTATCAATTTTATGCATTTCCAATTATTGAAAGAGAAACAATTGTGACAACATAAATGAAATCTTAACATCTTTGCAATAAATATTCTTTTTAAGGATATGTTTGGAACCATACATAACATTGACTAAGACATTACACCCTAACTTTGCAAATGATAACATCATTTAGCCGTTGTCTGAACCACATTTTCATTCTTATTATTCTACTCATTTTTAAACACACATTTTTCAATAAAATAATATTTTTTATTATATCAATAATTTTTTTCTTCTTTTTTAACCACATATTCACCATCGCATTACCAAAAAAAAAATTCTTTCCATTTTAATGTGCATCAAACACACTCTTAATAAAATTAATAACTAAATCCGTAATTCTTTTAGGTGAATTTAATTATCGATAAATGACCTGCTTTGTATAATAAATTACTAAGTACAAGGCATCATTAAATAAAAATAAAATATTACGCATGAAATATGCACATAGAAATAGTAAATTAAGGTTTCCCGTGTAATTTAGCTAGCAACCTTTAATAAACGAATTTATAATTATAAATAGATAGAAATTAGTAGTGGATAATTGGATTGTACTTGTAGATATAACAAAATATATGAATAAAAGATGAATTATTGATTATAAACAGGTGCCAAACAAGAGCAAAATTGATAACTAAAATTGCAAATTCTATCATACATTTGAATTACGAGCCTTTATAAAAATCAAAAGATTAAGAGCCTCTTTCACGACCATTATAGAAAAAAAGAGTTTTGAATAGTGATTTTCAGGAAAATGTATGGTTATAAAATAGAAAAACGTTTTTGGTATACATGTTGAATATTTTATTGTGTGAATATATAATTGAAAATATTTCCGTAGCAAATCATAAAAATAAATTAATGGTTGTCAAACTGGCTCTAAACTAATGATTTCAAACTTTTCCACCTTTCGTACATTTTATGAGAATCAACTTTTTTAACATTTAAGAGTCTATTCTCTTTACCGTTTTCAAGCCGTTTTCTGTTTTCGATTTTTCAAAACAGTGAAAATACATTCTCTTTCCTATTTTCGAAAACGCGTTTTTGAAAAAAATTTAAAAATTTACAAAGAAAACTCAAAATAGCAAATTTATCGTTTCATGTGTATTCAGTTATAATCAAGCCAAAATTTTCAAAACGGATTTTTGATATTTTCAATCACCACCAACCACCATCGAGAAAGAGAGAGAGGGGAGGGGAAAGTAAACGGGTTATTCATTTTTTTATTTTTAAAAATAA